GATTTTGTTACGCGTGTTTCAAGATAATGATCGATTGATTCTGAATATGCTATAACCGGCCTCAATACAACTGACTGGTATGTGGCGTGCGGCAGACAACCTGGAAAATACTAGAACTTGAAGAGCTTGAGCGGAAGTAACCAGCAAGCCCCCCCCCCCCCCATATATCAATATTCATACTTAAAATTGCATGAGTAAAAAGAGGCGCTCAAACTCTTATGGATGAAAACCCCCGCTTGCACTCATAATAAGATTTGCATTAACTACTGATAGGCAATGAATAACATTAAACAGCCATGTACTCTTAGATTCAAAGATGGTTGACGCCGCTTGGCCGAGGGCTTTTGGTGAATATACTTTTGCCATCTAAATTCGTAGACTTGTTCCCCTATATTGGAAAACTCGGAAACCCCCGAAATCATACACGCCGAGGCTGGAATCGCTCATATCTCTGTCCGTCTGGGGAAATAATGACAAAATAAAGCCAGCGTTTCCAAAGAAACAGCACTTAGAAGGCGGCACTGAAGCTCCAGATGTTGAAGTATTGGCCAGTGCGCTCAAGGTAGCATGGATCAAAAGATGGTGGACCCAAAACACGCCAATTGAAGGGTTTCTGCCAACAATCAATTTCTCGTCGGTGGATGATTGCCCATTTTCAATGTGCCGTTGGAGAACACGATATTCGGAGCAGGAATCTCAATGATTTCTGGGATTAGACCTGAACGGCATGAAATCAGCTACGACAAATAAGAAACACAAATAACAAAACATTAACACGGCCTTTGTTCTTGAATCGCTTCTTATAATCTAAAATATGTATACCAAGTGGACAATTGTGCTTAATGAAAAGACACAACTTAGTGTATGTCAAAGACCTGTACAACTGTTCCGCTAAAGGGTGGTACACACAGTTACGGAACTACGGCAAAGTACGGTATCTGGACGCCATGACGCGGAGCACCGTGATCAGTACAATGACCAAAGTATGACGATCATTGCAACGGCTTAGAGAGGTCTCGGATTCTTCAACGGCAGTATCAAAGCCAAGATCTGTGAATAACGCCATGGAATGGGTATATGGAGCTCTATTGGTTCCCAAAATGACTGTAGATTGTTCATGGCAAGCAAAATAGAACTCGGAGAGATTGAGGAGATTCCTCAATAGGACAAACTGACTGTATACTTGCTTGTTCTACTTATTTACATACTTGAAACATAACTCGCATTATGCTCCTAGCTATGTTCTACTTGGTAACTAATTTGCGAGTACACAAAACAGTGAGTTTAGTGACTTTAATTCCGCACATGACGTAAAATTCTTCCAACTCGCAAGATACTGAACATATACCATATGATTGATCATGAAAACTGTATCCTTTGCAAGGACGCAGTAGAGTCAACCTTACATTTGACGGTTAACTTTCGAGCAGTTAATGCATTTTGGGGCCGTGTGTGGAGCACGCTCACACCTGCCTTAACCGGCGCCAGGCCAGGTGAGCACAGCTCAAAACTTGACCTCTCCGGACGTTTTTGTGAGCACAGCTCAAAACTTGACGCTTGCAGCAGCGACAAGGCTTCAGTATCTGTTCATCTATCATTATGAAATCTTCCGTCAAAAGTTGGAGCTTTGATTAGCCAAGATCAGTGCTCCAAGTCAAGCCAAAGAGGCAAAAAAAAAAAAAAAAATTCACCGCGCATAACCTTTTTCTGGGGATCATTTACCAGTTGTCAAACTTGCCTTAGTATTAAAACATGACGGTGCCAGCACTTTGTTTATTTCAGATTTTTTCGAGGCAAAGTCGGTGACTTGAGGTCAGGTCAATTTTGTCCATTTTTCGCCAATAACTCAAATTTGTGCGCATTCTTGTGCACGTTTGGTATTTTTATGTGAGGAAAAGAGCACCAGCTCACATGCACAACCATCACATGACCACAGAGCACGTGACCTTGGCCCAGGTCATAACCTATCTCTTTGTGTGCCTTCTGCAAACGCCTGCGTAGCTCAAAATAGACAGTTACAACGGATGATTTTGAGCACGGAATTCAAACAGTATACTGAAAACATGTTATGATATCATTATTATGAAAAATGAGGTCACAATAGGTCACGTGAAGACATGCAAGGTCGCATGAGGCCATCCGAAGTCAATGATTTCTGTTATCAGTAGCAGAGAGGTTAGATAAACGAGCGCAACGCGTGTAAGCACCTCGTTATCGTATTTGTGAAGCTGATGACGCATAATCTCATGTCTCAATATGCCTGTACTCAGTTTGCTGCAAATACATTGCTAAGCGTCAAAGGGCTATGGGTAATGTATGCAACAACTTTGCGGTGTTGAGAATCTGTAGATGCACAACAAACTCCTTCTGACCACGGAGAAGCATTGCACCGGCCATTTAGACCCGATTAGATTACACCCGAAGTCCGGAGCACTGCGTGAAGGAAAAAAAGACGTCGCACCTGCTGACTACTGGTAAACCAATCTTGAACAGTAACCTGACCTGACCTGACACTTGCATAGAACATAAATGGTTGGAATGAGCTCACCTGAGTCTTAAACTTAGTTTTGTGCCCTCAGTATCTGCATTGACGTGCCAACGTATGCTTTAACTGCATCTATCATGATTGTCTTTTACCTCTTTTGACCTCTGGTAAGCTCACATTTATCACAATGTTAAAAAAATTGTGTGCATTCTTCATGATTTGACGAGACCTTCACACCAGTGTCTTTTTTTCCGTGCGACGTCTGAAAATTTGACGTCTTGGGGCGGGGGGGGGGGGGAATTCAGCTTGTTCCAGCCGGGAGCGATTGCCTTATACCCCGACCGGGCGAGTTTAAAGGAAGTGTTCTATATTTCTGTGAGGATTTAAACTGAAACAGCCATATTGAAGATCATTCGGCGCATTTTATATCCCGCACTTCTCCTTAAGCATATCAATCGTTATAGGTGAACTTTTTCATCATATGTAATGCTTGCTTCAATATCTTCGAATGAAGAGCGCTCCCTGAATTGTTTGGGAATTCATATTAGTAGCAAACGCGATCTCGAGTCTTTTTTTGTTCCTAGCCATGTCATTCATTTGGAAGCATAGTGAGCCTGAGAGTAATCCGACTGTGTCATCATTTTTTATGCATTTTAGGGCCCTCCAAAAGAGTGCAAACGCGTGTTTATCCAATGAAAGGTCATAGCCGAGGAGTTCGTGTTACTGTGGAGCGCGATGGAAAAATGATAAGGCTGCGATACATTACCAAGCGCCCGGGTGGCCGGTTGAATACCCTTCGCTCAGGTAGGGGTCAGTCTGACCCCCTGGGACCCCAGGAACTAAGTGGGCTAGAGACGCCAAATTCACCGAGCGTGTAGACCTGTACGTGGACTCATTTACATAAAATTTGAGGTTCTTAATTTATGGCCCTTGGGTCAAATAAGATCAAATAAGGTCAAACTTCAAGCTTGTCTCCAAAATGTTCCAAGAAGCATGATACTTGTTCTAAACGAAAGGTCACATGCGTATTTTAGGTCAGTGACCTTATTTGACCTTTCGAATGTCATAGTGACCAGAATCATGAAAACTGCTTTGAGTTTTGTATTTGAATAAGCGACAAAGATTGCGCTACGCAGCATGTTCCTAAAAACGCAATCTTGACCTGGATCATTTTAGGTCAGTGATCTGCTATGACCTTCAAGAAGTCCATGAAAGGTACATACTGCGGTTCCTGTTCGCAAACAATTCGAAATGAGAACCAGAAACTAGTTCATACAGCTATCCTTGAAGTAAATAAGCAGGTTGGTTTGACCTTGGTTGGACATTCATACCCGACCCAAGGTCAACGGAATTTGGTCATTCAATTGTTGTGCTGTCTAAGGAAGTATATCAGAGATGTATGCCTTCGTCTAATACTCCGTTGTTGCATCAGATTGAACTATTCCCTGGAAATTTACTTCGCTGAGTCTACGGCCTGACTTTGGCCTGCCGTGGGTCCGTGAACGTACAAAGTGCATCTAATTTGTTGATACCACACGATCTGCTATTCATGTGTCTACAGCCATACAAAATTTGGCGTGAATACACGGCGTCGTTCGGAAACTATTCCGTAAAAGCCCTCAGGGGGCTAATTTGAGCCCCACCCGAGCTCGCGTGAAGGTAGCTATGCAAATTAAAGCTAGCTTGTGGTGTTTGTGGTGTAGAAAGGATGAGGGAAAGCAGGAGGTTGGGTGGGAGGAGGATGAGCTCGAATTACAAAACTGAGAACTGGCACTGGTAAGGTAGGTGATGTGGATAATGGGAATGCACGTGATGCGATGACGATATCTAACGGCGTCGCTGTGCCCTACGGTGTTAGCAAAGTGTTTATTCTTAAATTATGTAGACAAATAATAGGATGCTAACATTAATACATGAATACAATATTTAAAAAATAACAATGCGACCTGCGACCAGTGCCCAGCTCCGAACACCCGGACTCAGGCTGGCAGCAGTCCATGACCACTTCAGCCACGTGACTGATGTATCCGTCAGCATAGTCACGCCTCAGCACGCCGCGTACAGAACACGTGACTGATGTACCCGTCAGCATAGTCACGCCTCAGCACGCCGCGTACAGAACACGTGACTGATGTACCCGTCAGCATAGTCACGCCTCAGCACGCCGCGCACAGAACACGTGACTGATGTACCCGTCAGCATAGTCACGCCTCAGCACGCCGCGTACAGAACACGTGACTGATGTATCCGTCAGCATAGTCACGCCTCAACACGCCGCGTACAGAACACGTGACTGATGTACCCGTCAGCATAGTCACGCCCCAGCACGCCGCGTACAGAACACGTGACTGATGTACCCGTCAGCATAGTCACGCCTCAGCACGCCGCGTACAGAACACGTGACTGATGTACCCGTCAGCATAGTCACGCCTCAGCACGCCGCGTACAGAACACGTGACTGATGTATCCGTCAGCATAGTCACGCCTCAACACGCCGCGTTCAGAACACCCACAGTATTTTATCACAAAGTTTATTCGCGCACTAATACGAAGACTATCCTTTACATTGGACCAGCTTCACATGCCGTATACATTCACCGTGTGTCACAGACGTACAAGTACCAATAACCGTGCGTACGCGTGCGTATATTTATATACAGCAGTCGACCGCAGCCAGACCAGGCGCGAGCCGCCACATTTCCACCGTTGCGCTTAAGCTCAGCAGCACATAACGCTAATGACACGACCTGCAGCACACTACTCTTGGAGCCGTGAGGACCGGAGGCCCAGGCAGCACCGGCATGGCGCGAGCGGCGCGCGGGACGTGGAGCGGGCGACGCGAGCAGCGCCGGCCGCGACCGCACGCGCCACGCTGCAGGCGCCGGCCAGCTGGCTACCCTCGGCCGGCAGCCGTGCGCCCTGTGATTTGAGTCAAACCGATACAGACTGCTCGCCCGCCGGCCACCACCCAGTGCTGCTAGCTGACTCCTGGCAGCGAGCAACGAGTATTGGACAGTGTGTTTCAGCCAGCCAATCAGTGTTGGTGGGAGGGTGCTGCGTGTGGGAGGTAGGTGTGACGGGCGAGCCGCGGCCTCCCTCCCCACCTGAGCCCCGACTCCGACCGGGCCGCCGTCCAGCCCGCAGGCTAGCCGCCAGCTGGTCGGTGGTGAAGCCATTGCTCCTGGCCTCAACCCACTTCTAACAGCGACTTCTCAACCATTGCTGGCAGAGCGTTTTTGTCGCCTTTGCCAGACGAGGGGATCCCCAACGCAATCTGCCATCTCTGTTCATGCTATAACCAAGTGGAAAATGCCATTGGATAGCATAAAACTGCACCATCACTGCCACTGAACGTCACATCAAGTAACACTGACAGGCCAAAAGGGGACAGCAGGAAAACAATAATCGTGTTATATCCGTGTATCCGTGAGCCATCCGTGCTAAAGCGGTATACAGCAGGACAAGCAGTATAAGCTATAGTCCTAGTTGCACTACATCTTGCAGAAGTTTAGCATTTGATACGCCCTGCGACATGTCAAGTCAGGTGATCAGGGTAGGGCGTAATGAGCATGGGCACCAGCCCACGGTCGCAAGAAATAACCATGGTACGAATTAGCCAACAGCGCTGTATACAATGTCAAACTACGCCGAATAGCGGCTGATGTGAGCCGTGATATGTAAAATTGAGTCACAAAGGTCAAACATTGAATTTAACAATTTGGTCACTTGGCTTTTTAGACCAGCGTGAGCTTGGATGGTCTGATGTCAAAACTGCGTAATATAAGATAACATCATACACTGAAATGAAGTGATTGCTTTACTTGAAGGTATCAGCACAGAACTCACAGAATTTGCAGTCGAAGGATTCCCCAAATCCAAAATATCCTGGAAAACTTGGAGAGGTACAGGATTCCTTAACAGGATTTAGTATTACTGAGAGCGTATACCTTACAGCAAAAATGCACTTTTTACGGGCTGCGGGCGAAACAAAGTCGACGTGACACTAATAACATCACTAATTACCTTCCAAAGTTAAGGTCTTCAAATCTGTACATAATGGGCAATAACACTTTATATTTGGATGCCAAATATTTTTGTTTCACACTCCTGGCGGTTCAACAACCGTTTCAGACCTATTGCGAGCTCCGAGATTCCCAGCCCAGCGGCGGTTGACTTCGCCCAGCTCACCCGAGCAACTCGGACGTTTCACTGCTCCAGCGCGCCATACCAGCGTGACACGTGCTGGCTTCCGAAAGCATTGTGGGAGCTATGTGTCGTTTCTTTTCAAAGAAAAAAAAACTATGCGTTAAACAAAGAACAGACGTAAACAAATGTATGAAGCGTTTTGATTAGTTTCGATATGGTTTTATTAGCACAGTGCAGTGCCGACATTGTTCAGTGCTTGCGAAATACTAAACACACTTCCTGGGTGCATTTGAATGGCGCGGTGCCGAAGACAGTATCGAGAAACTCTGCTAACAGATGTTGACAGCTCATGCCCCGGCACACTTCCAACTGGCAGACGCGCTGGCCGCTGGCCGTTGATGCTGTTGGGTCAGACTGCAGTGGGGATGATGCCGCACAGTATCTTGCCATGCAGAGGACCCAACATGGAAGGCCTCTCACCTAAAATGGCCAATTTTCCGCACTCCAAGAATAAACTGCATTAAATCCGATCAACACATACCAATGAATCCCGGAATTGCAAATGCGTCGTTCACAAGTACATCATTTAACTGAAATCACCCACAAATACGAAACAAAGATTCGGGGAATAATGAACTTTGACCCAGTGCTCCCAGTACATCATCCAGCACTAAATTCTTAGCAATATTTACATTTTATACGTTGAACAGAGATTTTCTACGACCCCCACAAGGCTCCATATCTATAAAGCAAAGCGCTCTGACTTCTAAAATGAACACCTACCACGCTTAAATGGCTCGCCTGCTTCTAAAATGAACACCTACCATGCTTGAATGGCTCGCCTGCTTGATGCGCGTGCAGTGCGGACTGTGCACTGTCTCACTCTGGGCGGCTGGAAGCCTTGCCCACCGGAGAGCGAGGCGGTGAGAACTGGACCTCTACCCTCGGCGAGGCGGTGAGAACTGGACCTCTACCCTCGGCGAGGCGCACACACAGCTCGGGAGCACTGCCTAACACAGCTGCAGCCAAGCCCGGCCAGAGGCCACCATTCTGCGCGCAACTAATCGACAAAGCATGTCCTGAGCAGTTAAGGACGGCATGGCTCGCACCAAGTATACCTTTTTGGCACAATTCGGCCGCACGTCACACGCACGTGAGAGGAGTGGAAGGAAGACCCTGACCACGAGTACAAGGAGTGCACCTGGCGAAGAGGAGTAGGACGGGCGAGGCCTGAACAAATGATATTTAAGTAATGCACCCATGCACAACGAAATTATAGTAGTCACAAGCCATAAGATGTACGACGCGATTTCGGCCAGATGATTTGTTTTTTGGACTTGTCGACTGCTTCCTACACAGCCATGTGGCCCCCACACGATTAGGTCCCAATCCATCCTGCGACGCAGATGATTCCAAGTGGGGTAGTCGATGAGAAGGATCAATACGCATGTCGGTCGTATTTGCTGGGATTAATGGTGTCATTACTATTTTGTAGGTACACACACCCTGCTCGATATCCAGAAGGCCTTCTGACAACTGAATATACCTATTCATACAGCTTCATAGGCACAATCATCGACACGAGTGACAAGACAGTCTGACTCCCAGCTGAGCACGCTTGGTTAGCCACTACCCTCTTAGTAGTTACAGTGGTGACTGGGTTAGCCACTATCCTCTTAGTAGTAACAGTGGTGACTGGGTTAGCCACTATCCTCTTAGTGGTAGTAGTAGTGAATGGGTTCTAAGGGCCTGTCACCTGCAGCGGTTTTTGGCGTCTCCACTGACCTTCCACCACGGGTGGACCATATAATGATGTTAACAAACTTACAACACAGATAATGCTAATGAACCCTCGTTGTGCCATGCAATACCACGGCACAGTGTGCGTGGTGAATAATTTTATTTGAGTTATCAAACATGCTGCCTTTGGTGGAGCTCAAACCAACAGGAAACGTCGCTCGCCGCTCGCCAGCATGGCACTCAAGGAGCCGCTGCGGCATTAAGCTGCATATTAACGTGTAATATTCTGGATGCTGCCTACTGATGCGCTAAGACATGCCATCGATCTATTTTGTAACTGGAAGTGGAGACTTGGAATAAATATTTCAAATTGAATCAGGTCTTCTGGTGGGCATTCATGCCTGTAAGTTGTGGCGTACAAACCTCATTACTATGCATGTCAAACCAGCATGTATATCCACAGCGTCAATGTTGAGGAATAAATCAGACCTCTGGAAGAAAACTCGAATTAAATCTCCTTTTCATATGTGAAAGTAAGCCTGAAAAGAACGTCACAATGCCAAAGCAGCGTTATCTTCTTACCGAAAAGTCAGCTCCTTGAAAGCAAAAACCGAACTCCGGGCGTATATTAACTTCGGAAATAATAAAGATACCTGAAAAATATAATCCTATTAATGTTGTCCTGTGCTCGTCCAGGGAGCATTTGGCGCTTATATATATATATATATATATATATATATATATATATATATATATATATATATATATATATATATATATATATATATATATATATATATGTATATATATATTTTTTCAGAGCAAGAAAACAAAACAACAACAAAACAGAAAGGACACAGTATTGTGACAGCAACAGGCTGGCGTTGGCTTGGGAATATAACTGGCGACGTGCGACGTCTCAACACGGTGCCTTGGTCATAGGTATGATCGGTCGAGAACAACGCAGACAGTACATGTCAGTCAAGATAGCTTTCAGCAACATTTTCTTTCTAGGCTTGCGTGCACACCATACTGTTCATAATTTAAAATGACAACCTGGTTGGTCAGTGATGGTAAAGATGCACAGCAAAACGTCTGAAGGTGATACCTGGTTCAAACCAACACCATCTCACGCCCAGATTGGCTCACAAACACACACACACACACACACACACACACACACACACACACACACACACACATTCTCGAGCGCGTACTCCCTCTGCGCAAAATAGCCCAAACGAATAACAACCAGCTGGCTAAAAAAGAGCACCACTGTTCACCACCACGGACAGCACCACTGTTCACCACCACGAACCTGCCCCACATTTGCGCCTGACTTTGAGCACGTCGCCACGTCAATGCGTGACTGTCGCTGAAAGGTGTGGTTCGGGCGGCGGCCGCGCGGCGGCGCTAGACGTCCAGGATGGCCACCTTTCTGCGGGTGGGCGGCGGCGGCGGCTGCAGTACCCTCTGCCTAACGTCGGGCGAGCTCCAGGAGAAGGCGCTGCTGAAGTCGGTGCCGAACGGGTCGGACGAGAAGCCTGGCTCGCCGTTGGGCCGCATGTGCATACGAGATTCGCGCTGCCGGCGCCGCTTCTGCAAGGCCCCCGTCTCAGGTCACACGCGCAGGTCACCGGCTCGGATCACACGCACGAGTCAGCGGGCTCAGGTCACAGCGGCAGGTTAGCTCACGCGTTGAAGGGCGCACTGCGGTCATACTGTGTAGTCACTGTACCTGAACGTACTGAAGGACCTCTTATCCTACCATAAAGAAGTGGGGTGCTTGTCTGACAATGCCGTTTCGTTTCAACGGTGACATGCACAGGCCATAGTGCCCACGTGCAGATCCCGCTCTTTGGCAGGAAAATGCACACGTGGCCATCACGTCTAACCCCTAGGAGATTTAGTGCTCAGCGTTTAGCTCGATTTGCTGTTCTGAAGTACCATGCGCGGTCTTCCAGTTGCAAAAGCAGACCATTTTTAATAGGATGGGACGAGACTGGTGACAATTTCGCGGTGCTGCTCATTACAGCATAGCATTATTACGCCGCAATTAAATAGTTTATTATGTAGACGATCCCAAGATTCGTCGTCACATGATAACGTATAAGCTCCTTCAGAACGAGATGTAATGATAAGTTACGTAAAGCGCTCACTTGCTTAAATTCCTGAATTATGTCGCAAAATGCAGGCAATTAAGTAGGCAATACGGTAAGCACAATCAACGTGCTACGTGGTAAAAGGCAAATGTTCCACAATTCATTACTGCTCTAAACCTATGACAAGCACAACCCTGAACAAGGACACGCAAAGAGCAGCGATAGCCATTCGTTGTGTTTTTTTGTGGCTCACAGGAATCCTCTCGCTTGAATAAATGCAGAAAGCTGTCACGGCAATGCAACAATGGCGTCAAATCCTGCATCCAAGTCAAAAAAATATAGCAGGCAGCTTGCAGTGCACAGTGACCTTAACAGCCGACTGTTCTAGCACTTACGTACATCGCAGTCAGTGCGGTTTAAACGCTCGAACGTAGCCAAAATATGTACAGGCCCGAACCAAGATGGCCACTGCTGAACACTGCCTCAGCAAGCGGGTCAAAGCCCGATCACCGACAACGCCTGCACCCCAACCCCCGTATGTACACAGACTAACGCCGTCAGTGAGGCGGCTGTCGCGCCGGCGGCAGCGCGCGGCCACCGCCGTCCGGTTAGCGGACGGAGCCAGGCAGAGCTGTCAGTCCTGAAGCGCCAGCCATGGCCTGTCTAAAAGCAGTGGGGCACGGCTGGGGCGCGCGGCGACTGTCCGTGAGACTGGGGCGGGTTAGTGATGCAGCAGGCGGCTCAGAGAGAGAGAGAGAGAGAGAGAGAGAGGAGAGAGAGAGAGAGAGAAGAGAGAGAGAGAGAAGATATAGAGAGAGAGATAGAGAGAGAGAGAGAGAGAGAGAGAGAGAGAGAGAGAGAGAGAGAGAGAGAAGAGAAGAGGAGAGAGAGAGAGAGAGAGAGAAGAGAGAGAGAGAGAGAGAAGAGAGAGAGAGAGAGAGAGAGAGAGAGAGAGAATAGAGAGAGAGAGAGAGAGAGAGAGAGAGAGAGAGAGAGAGAGAGAGAGAGAGAGAGAGAGAGAGAGAGAGAGAGAGAGAGAGAGAGAGAGAGAGAGAGAGAGAGAGAGAGAGAGAGAGAGAGAGAGAGAGAGAGAGAGAGAGAGAGAGAGAGAGAGAGAGAGAGAGAGAGAGAGAGAGAGAGAGGAGAGAGAGAGAGAGAGAGGAGAGAGAGAGAGAGAGAGAGAGAGAGAGAGAGAGAGAGAGAGAGAGAGAGAGAGAGAGAGAGAGGAGAGAGAGAGAGAGAGAGAGAGAGAGAGAGAGAGAGAGAGAGAGAGAGAGAGAGAGAGAGAGAGAGAGAGAGAGAGAGAGAGAGAGAGAGAGAGAGAGAGAGAGAGAGAGAGAGAGAGAGAGAGAGAGAGAGAGAGAGAGAGAGAGAAGAGAGAGAGAGAGAGAGAGAGAGAGAGAGAGAGAGAGAGAGAGAGAGAGAGAGAGAGAGAGAGAGAGAGAGAGAGAGAGAGAGGGGGGGGGGGGGGGGGGTGAGCGAGCGAGAGCGGACCTGCAGAGGACTGGGGGCGGTGGCTGTGGCGAGCCGGACGGCGGCTGGCGGAGCGGCTAGCCCCGCTGCCGCCTGGCTCGGGGGCCGGCACTGCCGGGACAGGGCAGTGTTACGTCCCTCCAGAAGACAAACCCTGAAAGGCTGCTGGAGACAGGACATTGACTACAGAATCGTCGAGCTCGACAGCAAGGAAAACAACGGCGCTGAAACAGCGTATCAGTGACAGCCAGTCAGTGATGACAACCCAGCGCCACTGATGTCTTGTTGTGCGGTGCAAGCTATAGTATAGAAACGGTTTTCTGCCTGTTACCATGGCACAGAACCTGCTACCAGCGACTGAAGTGGCACGTAAGAACACCAGCATGAGAGCAGCGCACCAAACAAGTGTTGAGCCAATCTCACGTGGCTCACGGCTAGCGCGGGGCCTGGTGCTGCTGACACAGACATCAGCCCGCAGTGGCAGCAGAGACACTGACGCATGCCAAGTGGCGTGTGTCGACAGCACGTAAATGTTAACATGGAAGCCTGCGTCAGGGGTCAACAAGGTCGACGGTCATCCGCGGGGACACAGTTTAGGCTCAAGGGCAATTTGCCTGGGGTCTTCAAAGTTTCATAAAACAACAGCAACAAGCAAGGAAAGATGGTCGCTCACACCATGGTTGGTACGTGCCTTCAATAAGAAATTGCACATCACACCCAGCAGCCGGTATTGGCGCGGCGTCCCTGTGCCTAGTGTAGGCATCTGCCTTCGTGCGGCATCTTACGACGTACAGTCAGTCCGTTCTCCCAAGATCAGTAGCACCACAAGACTCATCGGGTGTTAGTATAACATCCCCATCACTTGCTCCCCAAGCGCCTGCTCCCCAGCACACCACACATCCTGCCGTTAGTTCGTGCTCTCCAGGCAAGCTCACGCCGCGGCACTCTCCCGCCACTGCTGTCACGTCACTCTGATAGTTCAGCGCGTGTTCCCCAGCGCACCACACACCCTGCCGTTAGTTCGTGCTCTCCGGGTAATCCCACGCCGCGGTACTATCCCGGCACTGCTGTCACATCGCTCTGATAGTTCAGCGCGTGCTCCCCAGCGCACCAAGCACCCTGCCGTTAGTTCATGCTCTCCGGGTAATCCCACGCCGCGGTACTATCCCGGCACTGCTGTCACATCACTCGGATAGTTCAGCGCGTGCTCCCCAGCGCACCAAGCACCCTGCCGTTAGTTCGTGCTCTCCGGGTAACCCCACGCCACGGCACAGTGCACTCAGCCCAGTGATGGTGGACACCCTTACCCGACACCGAGAGCCGGCTGGCAGCGCTCTGCCTGCTATCTGGGAGGGGCGTCCCAGTAGTAGGGGGGCAGAGGCGAGGACGGGTCCCGGCCCGGCTCCGGCGTGTTGCGGGGCACCTCGGGAGGCGCGTCTAGCTCAACCAGCAATTCCAAGTGCTTGATGTCATCGTTCTAAACGGCAAATTGCAACCCGTAAGCCGCTTATTATGCATCGGTAAGCATAAGCTTACATAAGCTGATGAACATCCGCACGCAAAAAGCTACTACGTGTTACCTGCCGGATAACAGGGTGTCTTCACGAAAGGCTGCCTATGTCATTGGCACAAACGACCGCATTCACGACCAAGTGCCCACCACAGATAGCCGGATATCGCCACTGATGTAAGTCGCCCCTCACAGTGGCGTGCAGCAACTGAAACGGACGTCCATACACGACAAGCAGTCTGCCACACCGGACGGTAGCGAGCAGAAGGTCCAAGCCATCACACACCGAACACAGACAGAAACTGACGGACTTCACCCGAGTCATCATACACCACACACGGACAGAAACTGACGGACGTCACCACAGCCATCACACACCAGACAAGGACAGAAACTGACGGACAGAACCTGACGGACGTCACCTGCCGATCTCAGTCCTTACAGCCCAGTCACGGCGAGGGATGTCACACAGCATGGGATAGAGCAAATTGGTCAAACTGATTTAGCAATTGGCTGGCAGATTACTGGAGCGCCAAGTCAATCGCCAAGCAGCCCGCGGTGGAGTTACCCCCACCAGGAGAAAGGGTGTCGGAAATAGCAGGCCCGCTCGGTTCTCGGACATATCTCCTGAATCCTTCGGTGCACCATGATCAACTTTAGACTGAGGTCTGGCCCATTATAAAGGGACAACAGACCAGACCAGCCCGGCGGTCTGGTCTGTTGCTAACCCATTTAACGTCCTTTCCGATTCTTCACGCCTCTTTTTTTCCTCTAACGGCGACGGTCCCGTTAACTGCCACTCTTGTGCTTGGGTGGGCAGGCATGCCAAACAAAGAAACACCCACCCACCCACACACACACACACAACATACACAGGAGCCCAGCACGCGGCTGGGAATAGCCATTCACCTGCGTGACTGGCTACCGGAGCAGCCTGTTCACGTTTCTGATGTGTCCTGCTTGTCTGTGGACCTCTGCTACCCATATGGCCTTCTCTAATGAGTTCCCACGTGTACAAGGACCAGGACGCCTGGAGCCAGAGCAGACGCGGCGCCCATCTCCGCAGCCTCACCTGTGATCTTCAGTGTGCAAACGGGAGTGTGGGAGCTGTCCACACACGCACAAGAGCGCTGCGTGGGACCGTCCGGCCCCGCCACCCACCTCCACCGCGCCGCGCCAGCGGTCTGCGGCGCTCTTGGCCAGCGCCAGTTTGCGCTGGTTGCGGATCTTGTGCCGCTTGTAGATGATCTCCACAATGATAAGCGCACAGCCTCCGGCAATGCCCGCCAGCACCAGGATGAATACGCCGGCCATGTTCTTCAGGCCCAGCGTAGCCGGCGCCTTCTCCCGCGACTCGCACTCCTTGCGGTTCTGGAAGATCCACGTGTTGTCCAGCTGCTCCATGTAGCCACCTGGTGGCGGAGGCTGCGAATCAGCGGAGGGGTCGCCAAGGCAGACCAGCTCCGACCCTTACCCGGCGGGTCAGTTCGGTCCTCTACACGGCGGGCCCGCTCGGTCCCGTACACGGCGGGCCCGCTCCGACCCTTACACGGCGGATAAGCTCGGTTCCTTACATGGCGGGACCAGCTCGGTCCCTTACACGGCGGGCCAGCTCGGTCCCGTACACGGCGGGCCCGCTCCGACCCTTACACGGCGGATAAGCTCGGTCCCTTACACGGCGGGCCAGCTCGGTCCCTTACACGGCGGGCCAGCTCGGTCCCGTACACGGCGTGCCCGCTCCGACCCTTACACGGCGGATAAGCTCGGTTCCTTACACAGCGGGCCAGCTCGGTCCTGTACACAGCGGGTCAACTCGGGCCCGGATACGGCCGTCCCACCCGGTCCCGGACGCGGACGTCTCGCCCGGTCTCGGAGGTAGCGCTGCAGCTAGCCCCGGACGCGGCCGTCGCACGACCAGCACGGTCCGGCTCGGGCCGGTCACCCCGGCGTCACGGAGATCCGGTCCGGGCCGGCCGTCCATCAGCTGGGCCAGCGCAGCTCAGGCCAGTCTCGAGCATGGAAGGCAGGCGGCAGGGCCTCACGTGTCCGCCAGAAGCGCGCTTTTACTTCCTCATGCGGCAGGGCCTCACGTGTCCGCCAGAGGCGCGCTTTTACTTCCTCATGCGCGTGGACTTTATGATTTAAGCGGAATGATCAGGCGGATATCTGTGCTGGTGGGATTGATCAAACAAAGCCAATTGAAGTGTCTGGCCAGGAAAACGACCGGACTATCGGCGTCATGATTTGTATATTGCATAGTATACAGCGCACGGTTGCTCTGCGGTCTGACACTTCGAATAGCAAGCAGGCTTGGCATGAGCTCTAGCAAATGTTTTGTACGTTACCAAACATCTCTGGCAAGCAGGATGAACAGAAAATGTTCGCCTAAAACGGCGTAACCGGTCGTGGGAGGCCAAGTGAGATTTTCGACGTGCTTAGCCACATGACGGAGGCAAAACAACAGAGGAGACACCGTAACTCTAGTCTGTGTAAGAACCGAGGCGTCGGTGCAGCACCGATACGGGCTAGTGAAGGTTTGAGTTATAGCCCTTTTTGGAGCTCGACCTAAGGCTTTAGGCTAGTTGGAAATTGTTTGGTTACGACAGGACGACATGAAGAAAACGTGGAAAATATATACTCCACTTTGCTCCACGCTGCATTCTCTCCACCGTGTGCAACAACGCTTCTTATCCTGTAACGGCGGCGGTGCAAGTGATTACAGGATAACGATCAGTAACTGCTATCCCAATTTTAACGGCTTTTTCCATGGCATAGCCTTACTCTCAAACTTATTCGACATCAAGTCTAATCTTGCAACGGACCATAACAGCGCGTCCACTCCATGCCGTTCTTGCATCATTGACTGCGTGTGCACGCATTGAAAATACCTTGGAGGCTGACAAGTAAAATAATACCAATCGAGAACATATCATGTTTGACACCATGTATGGAATTTCACGCGCCTGTGACGCTCTGGTCTAAGTTCTCAGCGATTGCATTTAGCTGTCGGCCTCCCTACATTGGGAATGCTTGCGTGCAACCCCGCCAACAAACGCCGCCTGGGGCTTTTGCAGTGTGGCGAAGCTGTTACAAGCATGCGGTACCGCACTGCCTCACATGCATGCTGCAAGTTTTATGACCACGATCAATGCCGTGCAATGTCGTGGAACTGAAAAAAACATCTAACACTTCGAGCATGGAAAAGTACGTAGTGTTATATTCGTCAACCCGACTGGACAAAGTTTTTTTTTAAACTGACCCTTCACTTATCGTGCCAACAACATGTTGCTTAGATTACTTCAAAATCCATTGAGGACGGCGCCCATGCCTGTGCTTCCTGTAGGGCATCAGGCATGACATCGTCAAGTAGCACTGGGAAGCTGAACTCGCCGCACCAATCATTGAAGGCGGACGCAAGCTGGCCAGGCTTAACGCAAGCTGGACGAGGCAAGCATCGGCCCCTCCCCCTCCCCCTCCCGCCCTCCTTATCGCACGTTGTCAGTAATATTTTTTTAGTGAGCGAATGCATGATGCTGCAATTCTCAGGCGTTGAGTTTGGAGCATTTACAAGCCTACTCTGACCACTGTAAGGTCTTCTTTAATAGGCCATGAGTGATGACCCCATTGCTGGGGTGATGTCGATCGCATTCCCACTCAGACACATAATAACGTACAGCTGTCGTGAAATGTGCATTCTGCGGGACTTCCCCGCATTATTTATTTACGTTATCATGCTGCGTAATGTCAAGCTTCATACAAAATGCAGCTACGCCGGATAATTCAATGCTAAGCTAGGCCAAATGCGAGAGCAGGTACCACCATCTACTATTCTTTTTGCAACAAGTGCTAGCAGGTTCCTGATACCTGACAGCCCCGCAGGTGCCGTCATTCCTTCCGTTTTTATACCACGCTTGGTTCTTGATGTTATACAAGATCACCTGCATTTATGTTTGATGACAGCAATATGTTGCAATTTCACCTGTATGGTTACGCTTTACGTCTGTCTCTGGCGTTTCTATCCGAAACAGTAGAGCGGTCCTGTGCGTTCCCTCGCCTTCCGCGGAGGATAGCGACGTCCGCCCGCGGTGCTGTGCGTTCCCTCGCCTGCCGCGGAGGATAGCGACGTCCGCCCGCGGTGCTGTGCGTTCCCTCGCCTGCCGCGGAGGATAGCGACGTCCGCCCGCGGTCCTGTGCGTTTCCTCGCCTTCCGCGGAGGATAGCGAGGTCCGCCCGGCCAGTTTTCAGTGATTTTGGTGTTCCAGCAGTAGACCTGAAGACGGCTTATACCGCAAAAGATGAGAGAAAACTAAGAAGAGGAAATAGTGACTGAAAAAAGACATTTCTTCACACCGCTGTAGTTGGACGGCTGACAGCCAGAGTGGCGCGCCGACAGCACGTCACACACTCACTCTCATGGAACTGAAGTATGGCCAGCGTCACGTGATTGGCCCAGGGCGACTCCTTCTTGAGGCCGATGCCGTACCCGGAGCGGCCGAACAGCTCGCCGGCCGTGACCAGGGCGCAGTTTTGCGCCGCCTCAAACTCTAGCCGCGAACTGTCCCAAATGAAGGCGTTCAGTGACCTGTCAGAGCGCGGATGTCGTGAGGCATGGGGTCCGGACCGGCGCTCTACGGCACAGCGGCACCCGCGGGCGAGGCAGGGCCGGGCACGAACGGACGTCGCCACCTGATGTCCATAACAACACTCGTCTAGCCACCGGGCGACCACTTGCCGCACGACGATCGCCAGGGCATGACCAATATGAGGTAAGTCAGGCACGTTTAACTACGTTGGCAGTGCCGATGTATCCAGGTTCTCAGGAGGGTTTAAAGGCTCACAAAGAAAAAATACGGTTGGCACAAATTTTCCTCTACGCATGTAGAATATTCCGCTCAGCAAGCAAAAACCATCTTTCCCTTCCATCAAGAGATGACCGGCTGGCACAACTCTTTTCTAGCTCCTTTAGTGTCATGCTTAGGTAACGCTCATAGTGCTTTTGGCGGTCGCCATGCACGCCCGTTCAACACGGCGGTTTATCACCCAATCCATTGATGTACCCATGCAACGAGCTATCCGCACCCGTTGATGACGGCTTTGATGGCCTGCTCAGCTGTCGTGAAGTGATTGCCCTCCATGGTGCGGTACATGTTGCTCAGCTCCACTTGCCGCCTGAAGTACATGTCCACCGAAGATCCCTTCACAGTGGCGTACGAGAAATTCTCCATGGGGTTCCGCAGCTGTCGGGACGGAGAGAAGCGCCGCTATTTATCTGTGCTATCGCCAACAAGAATAAGCCGTTAGTCGAGCAGCATGAGGTGCTCTCTCAACACTTTGTGAAAGCGCCCGATGATTTGTATGCTGTAAAAGAGGCCGTCCGGCCGCCCTGCTCCCATGCGGCGGACGCTGGGAGGAGGAGGAGGGGACGGGGAGGGGGGACCGGGCCGGCACGACACCCACCTGTGCAGGACGGTCGGCAGGCCGACACGTCGAGCCGCTCGCGTGCCGCTAATGGAGGACAGATAAACACGGGGAGCGATGAGAAGACAAAAGAACAGGGGACGATCGGCAAGGGAGACAAAGCTGAAAGAACGAAGTGATGAAGAGGGCGGGAGGTGGACAATAAGATAGGGATGGTGACAGCAGTGAGGGAAAGGATAGATGCAGGGAGAGAGGGGAAAGAAAGAAAGAGAGAGAGAGAGAGAGAGAGAGAGAGGAGAGAGAGAGAGAGAGAGAGAGAGAGAGAGAGAGAGAGAGAGAGAGAGAGAGAGAGGAGAGAGAGAGAGAGAGAGAGAGAGAGAGAGAGAGAGAGAGAGAGAGAGAGAGAGAGAGAGAGAGAGAGAGAGAGAGAGAGAGAGAGAGAGAGAGAGAGAGAGAGAGAGAGAGAGAGAGAGAGAGAGAGAGAGAGAGAGAGAGGAGAGAGAGAGGAGGAGAGAGAGAGAGAGGAGAGAGAAGAGAGAGAGAGAGAGAGAGAGAGAGAGAGAGAGAGAGAGAGAGAGAGAGAGAGAGAGAGAGAGAGAGAGAGAGAGAGAGAGAGAGAGAGAGAGAGAGAGAGAGAGAGAGAGAGAGAAGAGAGAGAGAGAGAGAGAGAGAGAGAGAGAGAGAGAGAGAGAGAGAGAGAGAGAGAGAGAGAGAGAGAGAGAGAGAGAGAGAGGAGAGAGAGAGAGAGAGAGAGAGGAGAGAGAGAGAGAGAGAGAGAGAGAGAGAGAGAGAGAGAGAGAGAGAGAGAGAGAGAGAGAGAAAGAGAGAGAGAGAGAGAGAGAGAAGAGAGAGAGAGAGAGAGAAGAGAGAGAGAGAGAGAGAGAGAGAGAGAGAGAGAGAGGCTCTCACCCTGGCGTCATTGATGCCACTCAGTCTTGTCTGCGGCCGGTCCAGCACCAGGAAGGCCGCCAGGTTCGCAGTGTACGATGCGATGATGATCATTGCGAAGCCAGCCCACACCATGCCCAGTACACGGGCCGAGAAGCTACGAGGGGTGCCTGCCAGTTGCAGCGGACAGATACAGATAACGGTCTGAGCACACACTGCAAAGGGGCAGAAAATACACAGTAACTGGTAACTATATGCCGTTTCCGTAGTTGGGTTGATATAACGTCGAGCACTGGCCATTGTGTGGCAGGCATTGTAGGCTCGTCTCAGAAACCACGCACATGCGACGCCATATCTGGCGATCATCTGCCAGGTGGCCAGCAAGTCGGTCTGAGATAAGGACGGTCGTGTTGCTGCACCGCGTGGTAAGTCAAAGTCTTTTGGCGATAGCCATCTCCGTTGAGGTGAGATTGATCTAATGATATGATGGGGCCCAAGATAGAAATACGCTACGCTTATCAGGAAATATTATCCCAGAGGAATCTGAGCTCCTGCAAAATATTCAGTCGCATTTCTAAGAAGGAAAACATCCATCTGAATTGTACATGATGGCTCTCATGATGGTCTTCGAATCTGGAAACATCTAGTGACACTCCAAAGGAGAAAGGGCATCGCATTGACAGCCCCGTCATTTACAATCATCATGTACGTATTTGTTCAATAATAACGCATGGCGTAGTCTGGAAACAGCTTCCGCATCATATTTTTCGTTGAACTGTCCAGCTGACGTTTCAAACTTGCTTTCAATTGTTTCAACTTCATAATGCTGGACAAGCTTTTAACACAACGCTGAAACACTTCGAATGCAATACCTGTCAGGTTTAAAATTAATTCACCCTGCCGAGGATTTAAACACAACATTACGACTCAACAAAGCACGGCGAGGCAGCTTCTCCGCCGATCTCCCTGTGCATTAATCATCAGCAAATGAGGTCCTTCCAGTGTGACTGGAAGCCACCAGGCCTTGAGCCAAGCCGTGGTAGTACGGTGGTCGGTGAACTAATCCCGTGATTCTGGCTCACAGGCTATAATGCCCATATGTGAATGCATGGACGAATGAAATATTCACCGGAACGGCTTCCGTGCGGGTGTTTAATCCGCTATTTCTAGTCGATGGGAGGCTGCCAGGGACAGCAGCTGCATAGAAAGCAAAAACGCAATTATGCCCTGTTCCGCCGAAAATTTGTGTGGGCTAGCTCGGGACGGAAAGGCTCCCGGCAGACAATTGAAACATTTCCGAATGCTAACGTGGTCATGCCCGATGCAGAACCATTTGCAACGGCAGCGGACGCACCACCATCAGTCTTCGTGAAAAGGCGCCGGGAGCCAGCCAGTGATGCGGTGAAGCCCGCCCAGCCCCGTTCAGTGCCGCAGCGCGTCGGCACAACGCTGCGACGCCGGCTCAGCACCGCTGTGACGCGGGGTCAGTGCGCTGTGATGCGGGGTCAGTGCACTGTGACGCGGGATCAGTGCGCTGTGACGCGGGGTCAGTGCGCTGTGACGCCGGGTCAGTACCTCTGTGACGCGGGGTCAGTACGCTGTGACGCGGGGTCAGTGCGCCGTGACGCGGGGTCAGTGCACTGTGACGCGGGATCAGTGCGCTGTGCCGCGGGGTCAAAACAGTAGGTCGCCATCACATCGCTGTGACGCCACCACGACTATATCCCGGCAGAATCTCACGTCAGCTTTGTACCCACGAAACTTACGGGTTCCCCATGAACAATGCTGGCGATGACCAGGAAGAACTGAGCGGCAATAACGCAAAATGGGTGGAAATGGGTGAGACCTGAGTGGCAACAATGCCAAGGCAGGCAGGACGACCCCCACGAGGCCAAGGGGAAACTGAACAGTTAACAGCGACGAGCTTGTGGGGACACGGGCGAAGCACTGAGCGAGTTCATCGGCAGGGGACTTCCGATAACTATCGAGAGTAACTGGACCTCACGTGCGCTGAATCTGTCGGCCCTGCCTGGTGCCGATCGCCCCATGGCTCCGCGCTCATCAGTTAGGGTGACTGCGCGGCAGACAGCGTCAGCGGGGGTGACCTCGCGGCAGACAACGTCAGCGGGGGTGACTGCGCGGCAGACAGCGTCAGCGGGGGTGACCTCGCGGCAGACAACGTCAGCGGGGGTGACCTCGCGGCAGACAACGTCGGCTGCGGTGACCCCGCGGCAGACCGCAGATCGTTAGTCAGGTCCGTCGACAGATTTTGTGTCATTTAGTCACTCTACAGGCCGTTTTGATACAAATGCACTTTAATTTACAATGCATAAATAACGGTTTCGCATATAATTTTGCATATGCGTGCTCAAATGGATTGAAGAACTTATGTTACGTTGCGCAAACAATTATGTAATGTTTCAACTGGTGTCGGTCCAGTGAATACCACAAAATTGGGCTCTATAAATGAACGATTCGTCAAAAGTGCTTCACAGCCGGCAACGCCAGAGACGCGTCTGAAAGTCTGAAAAAGACTTTCAGACGCGTCTGAAAGTCTGTCTGAAAGTCTGAGGACCATGTCAGCGAGTGGCAAGCTCAACAGGTGGCGGCCTACTCACCATCACCGATCCCGCTGTTGAGCAAGACGCCATAGGCAAACCACATGGCCGAAGAGAGGTTGAGGGCGTCATCGTCGGCGTTGCCGCTGTCCTTGCTGGCCTGGCGTCCAAATGGCGAGAAACGGTCCAGCAGATACAGTACCAGCGCCACCACGTGCACCGACACCAGCACCAGTATCCACAGCGTGTGCTTGAACGGCTGCAGGAACGACACCAGCGTCGAGGCGCGCGGTTGCTGCAAAACAGAGCGCAGCGTGAAGGGACGGCGACGGCAGTTACCAGGGCGGGCAGCGGGCGGCGCGAGCGGGCCGGGCAGCACGTCAAGCGTGAGGGGGCGGCGATGTCACGAGAGCGGGCAGCGGACGGCGGAAGCGGGCCAGGCAGCACGCCAAGCGTAAGGGGGCAGTGGTGTCACGAGAGAGCGGGCAGCGGACGGCGGAAGGGCGGTGTCACGAGAGAGCGGGCAGCGGACGGCGGAAGCGGGCCGGGCAGCACGCCAAGCGCTCTCTGACGCAGCGGCTCGGCGCTCGGCCGACGAGACCTTGGGCAGAGCAATCCGACGCTACTCTAGGCGGAGCTCGGAAAGCGAGCAAAGAGTGTGACAAATCTGCGCTATTTTTAGCGCTGCGTTCGGCAAGTCTGTATAAGAAGTTAACTACCTGACGAGCTATTGATTTCGAGGTCTTCCACCAGCATTGAGAGACGCTAGCGGAACCGGGCTGGAGCCAGGCCGCAGCTAAGATTCAGTTCACAGTTGGCTGGGCTTGCCTTATAAAGTGCCTCAAATATTGCAAGCGGCAGCCACTGCTGTCAAACGCAACGCGGCAATATATTAGGCAGAGCGCAGCTGCGAGTTGGGCCGCGGGTTGCGCTATTAGATTTGAACTCGAACGGCCAGTACCGCTCACCAAAACCAAACAACACCACGCCACTTCCGTACCATTCCATCCCGTCCTTATCATGTGCTGACTGCAAGTGAAGGATGCTCATGGCTCATGGAGCTACGGCCAGCCTAGTTAAATCGTGAAGCAAACCAGCAAACGACACCAGTGAGCCAGCAAAAGGTGAAGCGGGCTCCAAAATGGCGCGAGGCTCGATTTCAACGCCGCTGGCGAGTAACAGCAAAAGCAGAAACATAAGCAGCGCTCCAGACCATTCCGCCGAACGAGCGGCACATGATTCGAAAGGCAAACTGGACCGTTGGCCACGGGCGCCAAGAGCGGCGCGTGGCGGGCGATACCCGGCCGGCCTGACGACAGGCGCAGCTTGGCCCGTGGCGTTGGCCAGCGCTCTTATTGCCGTCGGGCCGGCGTTGCAGCCCGACTTTCGGCCGACGCCTCCACTGCTGATGGTGCCACACGGGCGTTCGCGGCTGACAGATGCGACGGCCGACTGCTGCCGGCCACAGGGCAGCGGCCGGCCGCCTCTCGGCCCCATCATTCGGACAGCCCAAGGGCAGGCGGGCAGGCCCGGCCACACCACAAACTGGCCGGATGACTTTCTGGCCGACCAAGTGGGAAGCTGAGCATTATTTGAATAAGTGATGGGGAACTGCCACCGAGGAGTGAAATACTCGGTCGGATAATCACTGAAACGGCCGCGTTTGTGCAAAGGCCACATCTCCTGTTAAACACCATCGAATTGAAAACATCTGAGCATTGACAGGCGTCGATTCTGCCAAACGGTGTCAGTGGCACAATCGGCAGCGCATATCTGCAACTTCGGATTCAGAGTTTTGTATTTATATTGCGATTCTTGTGCGCATTTCACCGATGCCACTGCAACAATCAGCCGGACAGTTTAGGATCATGATCATGAGAGCTCCACAGGCAAAAACATATACAACAATCTTCAAATTAGTGTTAGAAATAAGTCTGCCGTTTCAGCGTTCATGTCTAGTCGTTGACGATGGCAATGTTCTACACCCAAAATAAACCACCACGTAATTTACGACTCTTCAATACTTTCTAAACTGCAGGCTGAGTATGATTCCAGTACTCCATTTTACAAAACTGATCTGTTCCCAGGCTGTAGGCTTGCACGGCCTTAGTTAATCGGGACATCAGTTTAAGTCTCGCTTTGATGAGCTCGCCGCACATCGTAACTGATCAGGTGCTACGGCATGGTACAAAAATGTTAGGACACGACATAAAATGATGCGTTATGGTCGGGAGTGATTGAATACTGGCAAGACCGATACGATTATACAATACAACATTACAACTTTAAATGCAGCTTATGAATACTGATAGTACTGACGATTAAACAATACAACATTCCAACTATAAATACAACTTAAGAATAGTTATGAATACAATTAATGAATACTTACGAATACAACTTATGGATGCCTATGAATACAGCTTACAACTTATAAAGGCAACTTGCAGCATATGAATACAATTACAACTTATGAATGCATGCCTACTGATCAATGTTCAGTCCACTGACTTAGCCGGGGTCCAACTGCGCGTAAGCAAGTCTGCGGGGCGCCAGTTTCGGCACAGGTCTTGCGCGTCACACATATTCGGATGGATGCGCACTAGCTGCGCGGCACAACGTGGGCGGGTCTCTCCCGATTCGGAAGACATGTACAACTTGTGCGAAAGCCTGTCACTACCCGACCTAATCCTTTTAAGCAAAGGCCGCCCGCCGAGGCAGCAGCTGTGATGTCAGAGGTAAGTGCACTATGCCGCGCCGTATTAATCGCGGTAAGTCCAAACGTGGGCAAAAACTAGATTCATCTGGTTCATCTCATGAAAGTTTATCTGACAGCATTCAATTAATCTTTTCCGCTGGGACATTGGAGGTCGGCTGTTCAGCAGTTGCTGGTATTTTTCCTCTATCCCTTTCAACCCTCATGGCATACCATTATCCAATTCTCACCCACTCTTTTCATTCAAGCACACATCTTACCTTCACTTGCTCAGCTCCTGCACACGAATGCCCAAAACTGTCACATGGACTATATCCTGACGTTGAAATGTGCCTTATAATAAGTGGGCTGGAAATCAACCCAGGACCACTAGCAACCAAGAATGTCACAATATCACATATCAACATAAACAGCATCTCATCTCCAGTACGCCTGGACGAGCTTGCTCTCTTCACCACATATAACGACATTGACATCTTGCTTCTGACTGAAACCAAACTTGATTCATAGGTCCATCCTAGCTTGTACAATTTACGCGACTACCACAACCCAATGGCAAAGCACAGGACTCGACACAGAGGGGGAGCAGCAGCATACTTTAAATCAACACTCCCAGCAAAGAGATTACCTGATCTCGAACTGGAAGGAATTAAATGGGTTTAGTCCCCCACCAAAATCAAATCAGAAGTTACTGTGGTCTGCTGTGTCTATGTCCCACCCAATCTCTCTAGCAGTCAACTGACAGAGTTTTTAGATATCTTGTCAGACAGTGTTGGCATGGCACAAACATATAACCCTGCATCGATAATGATATTGGGAGATTTTAATCCTGGTAATAACTATCTAACCAAAGCTCACTACTAAACACAGTGATATCTTTCCATTTGAAGTCAGTCTGAAACACACAGTTAAATCACTCAATCTGACACAACTCATTGATCAGCCAACAGGCATTACGCAAGACACAGCCAACTTACGAGACTTGATACTGACATAGAACACAAACATCATTGCAGGCAGTGGGGTTCTCCTCCCCTTTTCACTAACAGATCACATTCCTACCTTGGTCACTATCAAGGTTGCACCGCCATCCTAAAGGCATCAACCAAACAAGTATGGGACTACACAAACATGGATGCAGACAAACTTCCACAACTTCTGGTAAACACAGGCTGGGACAGATTGCTTGATCATGACATAGACACAGCGACAAACAACTTAACGCAGACCATGCTCGCAGCAGCTGCTGAAGCCATCCCAACAAAGGTAATCAGGATGAGAAACTGTGACAAACCTTGGGTCAATGCTGCACTAAAGAGAGAGATGAGAAGAGACATACTTTTCAGACTTCCTCAGAGGTATATGACTGATGACCATTTGGACCGCTGGCGACAGCAAAAAAATTTACCACATGCATGAACAGACGACTTAAAAACAGCCACTTGCAGTACCTAGTAAACAACCTCTTGCATGCAAAGCAAAACCCACACAAGTACCATCGCATTCTTAAACAAATGATAGGACGGACACGAGCTGAGACAGTGCCATCGCTTGTAGGAGCTGATTCAACACCATTGACGGAAGACTTAGATGAGGCAAACCTACTAGGTGACTTTTTTGCCAGACAATCACAACTCGCAACTGACGACCTACCTGTCCCCGAGACCGCGCTTGCGGATCCACCCCACACGTTAGATAGCATAACCATTACAGAGGATGAAGTACTGAGCGCACTCAACACTCTTGATCCAAACAGATCATGCGGTTCTGACAATCTCCCAGCAAAAATATTTAAAAAAAATGACTGTCATATTGATAAAGACTCCACTCACTAAACTGTTCAACATGTCACTAAGCCAAGGTATTTTTCCTTCCACCTGGAAAGAAGCAAAGGTTCATCCCATTTTCAAAAACAAAGGGTCAAGCTCGGATCCTGCTAACTACAGACCAATCAGTTTACTTCCTTGTGTGTCAAAAATTCTTGAAAGAATTGTCTTTCATAATATCTATCAAAACCTAACTGGGAATGGGATGCTCTCTGAGAAACAAGGTGGATACCGTTCAAAACATAGCACACAAATTTAGCCGGTATATTTAATTAACAATCTTTATGCAGCTTTGGACCGAGGCAATGACTTTACAGCCATTTACATGGACATTAGTAAATGTTTTGACAAGATATGACACAAGAGCCTCCTACTCAAGTGCAAGAACTATTGTGGTTTGTCAGGAAGCCTCCTAAATTGGCTGGAATCTCATCTCTCAGGCCGTAAGAAGATAGTTAATGTATGCAACAGTTTCAGCACGCCTAGGAACATACATGCTGGGTGCCCGCAAGGGTCTGCTCTAGGACCTCTCCTTGTGCTTATAGATATTAACGACCTAGCCGACAAGACTGATAATGACATATTGTTCTTTGCCGACGACACTACACTATACTCAGCTCACTCACACGACCCAGTTACCGTACAAGCGGCACTCCAACAGGACTTACATATCATTCAGGAGTTCGGCAAAGACTGGGTCATCACGTTCAACGCCACGAAAACAATTCAACAAACATTCACCAACAGAAACAC